GGGCCAAGCACCGCCCACTCGTGCATTCTCCCTGGCACCTCTCGCTGCAGCAGGCTGGGTCAGCCTCGTGTCCTCACCTCCTGTCCCAGTGGGCCAGCACGCACGTGTCCAAGGACCCCTTTACCAGTGAATGCACTGCCTACCGAGGGGTCATCGCTACCAAGAAAAAAGTTCATCAGGAAGATATCACCAACCAAACGCTGACCCTGAGGTCAAGGCAATGATTTGGGAGCTTGGCTTCCGGAGAGCTTATCTGTTTCTGTTATTCTGTTGGGTGGTCCCAACAACTTGCATAGGGAAAAAAATCCAGGGCTATCTTTCTGGCTTCAGGTCTGCCTTGATCCAAGAGCTAAAGAGTGCCATCAGAGTCATTAGACTTGTTTTCTCTCAGTCTCTTAGCCCTGCTCTGTGGCTCCATTCTTGAAATCCATGTTATGTCTCTCTCTCTCCCTGTTGAAGGCTGGATGGCTGAACTCGATGGGAAAAAGTGGAAATCTCAGGGCCTGCAGAGAAATTCCCAAGATCCATTCTGACTGGACTGCCTTAGACTGTGTGCCTGGAAACCAATCACTATTGTCCTGGAGTGAACTCGCTTCCTGAAAAATGAAGACAGGGCAGTTCATCAAACAAAACCCAGGGGTCTTACTGGACAAGGTGGGGTTAAAAGAGCCTGAGCCCTGCTGTGAACACCCCAATGAGGCCAAGGGCAGGTGTGCGGGTTTGACACTGAGTAGTCAAACCACTGATGTCCAGCAGGTACGTGGGGACACTGTTCCCAGTGAGACTCTGGAAGTGAAGTGATGACTCCAGGGCTAGCCAGTAAGAAAGCAGCAGAGGTGAACCTGAACCTTAGGCCTTGATACTTAAGACTCATTCTGGCCGGCACCGCGGCTCAGTAGGCTAATCCTCCACCTTGCGGTGCCCACACACCGGGTTCTAGTCCCTGTTGGGGCGCCGGATTCTGTCCCGGTTGCCCCTCTTCCAGGCCAGCTCTCTGCTGTGGCCAAGGAGTGCAGTGGAGGATGGCCCAGGTGCTTGGGCCCTGCACCCCATGGGAGACCAGGATAGGTACCTGGCTCCTGCCATCAGATCAGCGTGGTGCGCCGGCCACAGTGCGCTGGCCGCGGCGGCCATTGGAGGGTGAACCAACGGCAAAGGAGGCCCTTTCTCTCTGTCTCTCTCTCTCACTGTCCACTCTGCCTCATTTTGTCTCTTCCACATTACAGCAGCAACTGCTGACTCTTGTGCTGCCACTGGGTCTGCAGCCTTCCTGTTCAGGACAGGAAGGCTCCTTTCAGTCTTCCCTGGAGCTGTTTAACACAGAGCATCCTTCAAGAGCGGCCCTGCTGGCCTCTGCAGCTCCTCCCCCTGGCACTTCCAGCTCCAGCTCTGTATCCAGCCCAAGGAGATGCCAATTCCCCCATTCCAAGGCTTCATTACCTGAGGTTGCATCATTTCCTGAGATTGCATCAACCACCAAATTACTCCTTTAAAAATAAGGTACTATGTCAAGTGGGGAAGGAAGGTTCTTATCATTTCCAAAACAGCTCCAGGCTCTACAGCCTCCGACCATTGGCAGTGTGCTCTCCAGGGCCTTCCTCACCTGTTCATTGCCTCCTGCTGGGCTGGTTCATACTGACACCTCATATCGCTGCTTGGATCTCACCTCTTCCAGGAAGCCTTTCTGCTCACACTCTTGGGAGAACCTCAGTTTCCTTGTGGAGTCCACCCTAATATGTGGAACTGTTGAGACAGTAATTCCAACAGAGCCCTGTGGCCAAACAAAGAGAGAGCCTGAGCCCGGCTGTGAACACCCCTACGAGGCCAAGGGCAGGTGTGCAGGCGACGCTTGTCCATTGCAATGGTGAAAGAAATGGCTGAAGCTCTTTCATCCCACGAGCACTGACTGCTCTCTTCAGCTGTTACTGTTCCTGTAATTCCAGTCTTCATCGCCTCCATCCAGCTCTGCCTTCTTTCCTGAGTCTAAACTCTTTCTGCAACTTCCTTGTCAATCTGCGGCTCGTCGGTCTTCCCATAAACTCAGTCTTGTTGCTGTTAGTCAAAATCTGTTTCTGGTGCTTGAAATCAAAAGTCCTTGACTTACATATTTTATGTCACCCCAATGCTCCCCAGTGTGTCCCCAACACCCCCACAGTGCCTGGCACAGAGGAGCCAGCAGCAGCTGCTGTAGGGATGTCGAATGAAGTGGTCACTGCTGGCCCCAACCCTTTCTCCAGCTTCCGCCAGCTGGCATCTCTTGCTCACATAAAAGTGAGGTCGACAGTGCACATGGCAAAGGCTGGCCTCCGACTTCCTCGGCTTCCCCATCCCTGCACAGGGAGGACCTTGCCTTTGTTCCAAACCGAACTTGACCTCCCATTCAGAGCAGAACCAGGTTCTTTCCAGCGAGCGCCCTTCAAGTTTCTGCTCTGCCCCTCGGACTCCTCATCTTGTCCTGTATCATTTCATTCAAAACTACATCAGGCACTCCCCACTTCGCATGGTCTAAAGCAATCTTGAAGTCCTCTTGTTTAGTAACCAAGGGTTGGAGCCCCACCCCCCACCCCCTTTTTTCACCCTATACAGATTTGGGAATTGCTTACTTTCAGAAATTTCCAACAGAAAGTGACATGAAACCTTTCATCTCCCTACAGAAAGAGATAAAGCCATGTGGAATAGAGCTTTCGCTCAAGACTTGACACAACGTTTGCATTTTCTGGACTGACGGACCACAAATGAAATCCAGCTGACAATTAAAACGCAGGGTTATCACTTCATCTTGAGGTGGAGGCAGCTGTTTGTTTTTTATTTTAAAATTTATAGTAACTGAATCCTGTTATGCAAGCACATGGTAATGGATTGAGGGAAAAAATAGCTGAGGGTGAAAAGTAACAGTTTGCTATTCCCGGTCTGGCCCCTCAAGGCCATCTCTCTTATCAATATCTACATACCTTTTCTCTGATAATTTCTGTGACTCAGAAATGAGCCTTTTCATGAGTGTAACTTTGCCTTGTGTCTTAGATCAGGCTCCCTTGAAGTAGAGCCCGAGCTGTGATGGGAAGTGGGATGGGGTGGGGAAAGGAGCAAAGATGGGGTGTTGCTGGGCCTGGCTTCAGCCCATCCCCATGGGGGACTCTGGACATAAACTGCACCAGAGTTGACTGCACCAGAGTGGATCCCAGCTGGAGGCTAAGGATCAGTCAGCCTGGTTTGTGGGCTGCCCTGGGCACTGGAGGAGGGCCCAGGGCTTCTCCAGCAAGGTCACTGGGGCTGTATTTCAAAGCCAGAGAGGAACAAAGGCAGAGATTGATCTCCATCTGCTGGTTCACTCCCCAGATGCCTGCCATAGCTGGGGCTGGTCCACACCGAAGGCAGGAGCTGCAGTTTCAGTCTGGGTCTTCCGTCTCCCATGTGGGTGGCAAAGACCCAAGTATGTGAACCATCACTGCCACCTCCAAAGGTGCACATTAGCTGGAAAAACTGGAACCGGAAGCAGGACCAGGATGCAAAATTAGGCATTCCAGTATAGGATGTGAGTGTTCCAAGCAGAGTCTTAACTACCGCATCAAATGTCCACCCTTGATTTCTTTAGAACATATGAGGGTACTTTAAAGCATTTGTAGGAAAATGGAATTAAAAAACAAGTTTATTGAGGTGTAAAAATAATTAGAAATCCATGAATACTTTTTTATAATGCACATTTTCTATGAAGTTTTTGAAGATCCCTTGTATGCTTAGATTTCAAAAGAAAATTGGCACCAAAATAAACTTACATTTTAATTCCATTTTCTATGAACTTTTTGAGGTAGTCCAAGAAATGGAATTCTTAGACTGAATGATGGGTCATGCATTTAACTCTTAAAACATGTTTCAAGAGGAAACATGTGCAAAAAATTCAGGCATAGCCCAAGCATTAATACTTCGTCATGAATAAATCAAACACAACGGCTAGTCGAGGCAGGCCCCTCAACTGATGGAATGAAACAAGGTGTGGGCAAGTTTAGGGAAGATAAGAGCAGTATCTCCTAGGCATAGCAAGCTAGCCAAGGCTTCCTTGCAGAGGACTGCAGAGAGACAGAGGAGGGAAGGGGGAGGTGAGGGGGAGACAGGTAACATGGGGAGAAGCTGTTGCTGGAAGGAGGCCGTTGATGCTTGGCTGGGGTGGGGTAGGTGACCCTGACCGAGGAGGTGGGAAAGTCCAAAGGTGAAAGTTTCCTTTGTGTTTGCTAAGAACTCAATGATATACTTTGTTCCTGTGCTTTATTTATCAAATAGTTCAATTTCTATAATGAGCTTCAAACAATTCAGAGACAACACAAAAAGACACCTTCCTCTACTCCTTGCTACGCTGTCAGTGCACTGGCATAACACAGCTCATAGTCCAGTAACAGTGACTGTTCTGCTTTGCTTGTCCTTTGGAAGGGGATAGATAGCTTATTGCTCCTTCTCCCAACTTACAGGTGTTTTCAACTTCCAGACACCACAGGATGCAAATAACAGGAGAGAAAAAGGACTCACACCCCAAGCCAAGTGTTCCTACCTGGCAACAAGGCCCCTGGAGGGTGCAGCAAGAGACTCAGTGCTCGCAGCAATTCCCATGGGACCTGATGCTTTGGTCTCCTGATCAGCTTCCGTGTCTCCTCTGTTTCCCTCTCCACCTCATGTCCCCTTTTGGGCCAAAGAGAAAGGTCTGCTAATGTTTCTCAACTATCTCTTTCTCTATGATGGGTCATGAAAAATCCACCGAGCTAGGCTCCCCAGGTTCCATTTCTCAACATGCACATGATAGAATCATTGCTCTGTTTCTGTTCAAAATGAAATAACATACCAGCTTGTTTAATCTGAGAGAGCCAGAAAGGAGACTTCTGTTTCCTGTAATCCAAATAATATTCAAAGAGCCAGATGACATTCTGTGTGTCGCTTCTCTAAGAGACAGGTACTATGGAAATAGTTTGAATTGGAAAATTGGTCTCCAAAGCACTTGCCAGCACAAGCTACAGTCTTGCTTCTAGTTCCTGGTACTCCGGCACCAGCAGGACCATGGAGATGATGAAACATTAATAAGAAGACAAACTGCCAGTGTGTGAGTCTGTTTTCTGTTGCTATAACAGAATACCCAAGAGTGGGTGTTCTATAAAGACTAGAAGTTTATTGGACTCATGATTCTGGAGGCTGAAAGTTCAAGGGCCTGGGACTCCCATCGGGCTGGCACTGGCGAGACTCTGCTTGCTGTATTGTAACACGGCAATGGACATCACACGGTAAGACAGAGCAAACATGCTGGTTTGGGTCTCTCTCATCTTAAAACATCGCTGATGCCATCATGAGGGCTCCACACTCATGATCTCATCTGATCCTGATTCTCTACCTAACACTCTACGGCCAAATACCAATCAAGTAGGAATTTCGGGATTACGCTTCCATCACATGAACTCCTGAGGACCCATTCAAACCACAGCAGCCAGGATATGGCCCAACGGAGCCCATGGTGCTTTTACTCCGTGCAGGCAGTAGATGCATGTATCTGATGAGTTCAATGAACATTCACCATGAGCCCGGCAGAGTGCTCAACACACACACACTCTCTCTCTGCAGGATCCCACATAAATAAAACGGTCTAGTTGTTTGGTTTTGAGGACACAGTCTATAACAAGTTCAAATCACAGCACAAGTAACCATCACGCAGAATGGCATAGGTAAAAAGAGCTAGAAGTTCAAAGTGATAGAGGAGTGGCATGCAGGTGTGACAGCATCTATTGGGGGGTTATACGGAGGACTTCCTGGAGGAGAAGGGGCATTTGCATTGACTTCTAAAGATGGGTGATGTTTTGGCAGGTGGGGACTGGGTGACATTTACACATAGATTACACGTTGTAAACTATACAAGGGGGAACGGCTGACAGAAAGGCCAGCAACAAGGAGTGGTTCATAACTGGGAGTTCAAGTTAACTATGCCTGTCCTCGTACCAGGATCTAGAGCCCCACCTGAGAGTCGTGACAGCTCACATTTTGAGAAATGTCTGTTGCAGTAACACACTGCAGAAAAGTTCTTTGAGAATCTTGACACAGTGAGGGACAGACATTTAGGAGGGAGAAGTCTGGAGCCAAGATGTGTGGGCAAAAATTTACAGCTACAGCAACGTGGTAGGATTTCACACACATACTATTGCTGCAGAGACTCTATCTCTATTGTATGATTCATTTTATAAAGTTCTTTTTTTTTTGTAATTTTTATTTACTGCTTTTCTTCACTTCAAAGAGAGAGAAAGAGAAATCTCCCATCTGCTGGTCTCCCCAAATGCCTGCAATAGTCAGTGCTGGCCCAGGCCAATGCTAGGAGCTGGGAACTTAGTCAGTTCCCCACAAGTGTAGCAGGCACCTAACTACTTGAGCCATCAGTGCTGCCTCCCAGGGTCTGCATTAGAAAGAAGCTGGAATTGGAAGAACTGGGGCTCAAATCCAGGCACTCAAATGTGGGCTTCAGGCATCCAAAGCAGCTTCTTTAACTACTGAACCAAATGGTTGCTCCCCTCCCCCTGCCGCATAAAGTTTTTTAAAAGGCAAACTAAACTGTTGTGAATTAGGGACTCATACTGTGTCTTTCAAAGGATAAAGAAAAGCCAGGTATCCACAAAGACCAGCTGAGTAGTTCCTTGTTAAAGGGAGGAAAATTGTACCCTGCCTCTTGGCCTGGGTGATGATTATACAGGTGTTTGTTCGCCAATAATTCATTAAGCTTTGTAAGTCAATTCTATATTTAATGGTGGTTTGCACTGACCTCTTCCTTCCATGCTGTGCCAAAGGCAAACCAGGGTTTGTGTCTCCTATCTCCTTCAGGTGTTTTGTCATCTCTGGAATTTATGTCACTTAGTTCCCTTGTGACCTTAGCTGTCTGGGGGCTCCAGAAAATTTAAGATTTTGAATATTGTCTGGTTCTTCATATTGCTAGAGTGGCAGCCATGTTCTTTGGTGGCTTTCAATATCCTAAGTGGGATTTTCATGTTAAAGCTCACAATTTAAAACTCAATCAATAAATAAAGGAGAAATAGGCAGTAGTGGTCTGAAAGCAGGAGCCTGGACAAGAGGGTGCCCTGAAGGGTCTTCGGGAAAGTGACTGAGGGCAGGGCTGGGAGGGGCAGGGCTTGGAAGGTCTGACTGCGGAGTGTGGGTTAGTCTGGAGGGGAACGGGGAGCAGCTGTATCAGCAGGAAAGGAGAGAGGCTGGGGCACAAAGCGAGAGTCCCCCTGAGCCGACTCAAAGGCCTGAGCAGTGGCAGGCAGGAGGACTGGGAGAAAAAGGTGTGAGCGTGAGCAGAATTCGTGGTTGATGGCGAGGAAGGGTGAGGGGCTTGGGCAAGGAGCTTGCTTAGGTGTCACCAGTCAAGAGGTGATGGTTGCAGCAACGCGGACACCACATGTGCTGCCAGGATAAAGATGTTTCCAGGTAGCTTTAAATGCAGGAAATATTAGAACTTGCTCCCGTATATAAAGATAATTGAAAATGAATCAGGATGCAGAACAGGGTGGGAGAGGGAGTGGGAGATGGGATGGCTGCAGGGGGGAGGGAGGTTATGGGAGGAAAAGCTGCTATAATTCAAAAGTTGTACTTTGGAAATTTATATTTATTAAATAAAAGTTTTTTTTTGTTTTTTGTTTTTTGTTTTTTTTTTTTTTTTTAGAAAGAACTTGCTTCCAGAGCTCCTGGGGATTAATTCAGAAAGCAGGGACGGATCCTGTAACACATAACAGGGAAGGTTCTGCCTGGAAGGTGAGAAGCCCGTGCTGCTCACGGGACTTGTGTATAATTAGTTTGTTCCTGGTATCCATATTTAATGTCTTTTTTTTCCAGTGCTGCAACCAGTTAACACCATTCCGTTGACTCGTGCACCTGCTGTCTGTTGGTAGGTATCCTTCTCTCCATCCATCATCTGTTTATGTTCCTGGTGGGAACCCTGAGTTTAGTCTGTTGGGTCCTAAGCATTCTTTGCTCAGTGTCAAGTCATTGATACTTGATATTTTGTGCTGGTATGCTCTGCCCATGTTCCCCTGTGCCTGCTGGAGTACAAAGCGAAGAGGTTATTGCTGATTTTGAAATTTAACTCTGGAATCTGGATGAACAGCCCTTCGCCATTGCAGCAAATGGCACTGTTGACTCAGACAACACCCAATCCCAATGCGAAATCTCTCTCTTTTTACATTTTACTTCTTTTAATACGTATGCCTTAAAACTTCTATCAAAAACTCAGCCAAAGTGATGGAAAAATTTATATCTGTTCCTACAAATACACTGAATTAAATTCTGCAAAATAAAATAAATATCACTTTGTTTGCTGGTGCTGGGGAAATTCTTTATCCTCCAGTTGTCTAGGTTTAATTTGAATAATGTTCTCATATGGGATGCCAGCATTGCCAGCAGGGGCTTAACTTGCTGCACCACAACGCTGGCCCTCCAAAATTTTGAAATCCATGCAAATGTAGTCTTCAAAAAGTTCATGTAACAATACATATTATGAAAAAAAACCATGCATGATTTTGAAAGTTTTTGTATTCCCCCCAGCAACAACTTATCTTTTTTTTTTTTTTTTTTTGACAGGCAGAGTGGACAGTGAGAGAGAGAGAGACAGAGAGAAAGGTCTTCCTTTTCCATTGGTTCACCCCACAATGGCCTCTGTGGCCGGCACACCGCGCTGATCTGAAGCCAGGAGCCAGGTGCTTCTCCTGGTCTGCCATGTGGGTGCAGGGCCCAAGCACTTGGGCCATTCTCCACTGCACTCCCAGGCCACAGCAGAGAGCTGGACTGGAAGAGGGGCAACCAGGACAGAATCCAGCGCCCTGACAGGGACTAGAACCTGGTGTGCCGGCGCCGCAGGCGGAGGATTAGCCTAGTGAGCCACGGCACTGGCCACAACTTATCTTTTAACTCCACTTCCCAAGAACTTTTTTTTTTTTTTTTTTTGACAGGCAGAGTTAGACAGTGAGAGAGAGAGAGAGACAGAAAGAAAGGCCTTCCTTTTTCCATTGGTTCACCCCCCAAATGGCCGCTATAGCCAGCACTGTGGCAATCTGAAGCCAGGAGCCAGGTGCTTCCTGCTGGTCTCCCATGCGGGTGCAGGGCCCAAGCACTTGGGCCATCCTCCACTACCTTCTCGGGCCACAGCAGAGAGCTGGACTGGAAGAGGAGCAACTGGGACAGAATCCGGCACCCCAACCGGGACTAGAACCCAGGGTGCCGGCGCCACAGGCGGAGGATTAGCCAAGTGAGCCACGGCGCCGGCCCCCAAGAACATTTTGAAGTCCCCTCCTATACAGTAATCAGTGGAAAAAGCACTGATCTTAAATATTCAGCAGCTCACTGAGCTTTTAGCAGGTGTGAAAGCATGCAGAGATTAGTATTAGAATTTATTACAGTGAGGGAATCCGCTTCATCACTAACCTTCAGCAGAGACTCAAAGGCTGGCAGGGCAATGGGAGAATTTTACAGTAGAAACGCGAGAAGGCTTCAGGTGTGCCCTGATGGGAGGGTGTTGGTATGGAGAAGTTGGGATAGATTAATGAACGGTAGATGTCTTCAGTGACTGTTTCGGGGAGCATATTTGGCTTCGTTTGGTTGGTCCCAAGTTGGAAAGGTGAGGCAAAAACATTAGAGAAGCTGGCAGTTTTAAACCAAATCCTGATCATCCTGGGCCATTTGCTTCAGAGCCTGCGATGCCGCTTCCTGGGCTTCTCACGTGGAGCAGAGTTCTGCTGTCATAGGTGGTCTGGTCTGCCCTCTGCAAGTGTGTGTCTCTGTGTCACCACCCTCAGGCCCAAGTGAATGTCTGAAGTTAGCCACTTACTGCTTTGCAGAGTACAGACAACATCAGAGGCACCTCCTGCGCCCAGAAGGCCTCTATTGTTGAGGGAAGTGATTGTTTAAAGTCTCAGGATAACAAGGAGCTGCATGCAGGAAAAAGTGCTTCCCAAATGTTTGTGCAAGGTGCAACCTTTCCTTACTTTAAATTTTCTCTAATCTTAGGGAAGAAGAGAATGTGGAAAAAGGAGAAGAAGAGAGTGCGGACGGTGGTCATGAAATGTGACTGGAAGAGGGTCTGTGGTGCTGTACGGAGAAGGAGATGATAGACAGTCTGAGGTGGAAGACTTGTAACAGAGAGCCAAACACTTGGTTGACATGGCTTTGCTACTTTAGATTGCCCCTCTCCTGCTTCCATAGAAATGTGACTCTTAGCTGGACACATAGCTGTCAGAAAAATTAAAAAAAAAAAGTTGCACTTCCCATCCTCCCTGGCAGTTAGGTGTGAACACAGGACTATTTATGACCAATGGGTGGAAGTAATATGTGGAACTCCCAGGTTGTTCTCTTGGGAGTGGAGGAGGACCCTCCCCTTCTCCTTTCCTACTGGAATGATGATGAGTCATCTTGGATTACTTGGATAAGGACAAGATCTTGGGGACAGTGGAGAAATAAGATTGAAGAAATCTAGATCCCTCCATCCTAAAGCCATTTTACCTCTCCTGGACTACTAATGTCCAGTGTGCTTCATGGGAGAGAAGCAGCTTCCATTATTGAGTTGCTGTAATTTGGGATTTTCTTAGACTATGATGTCTCTATGAAGCGTCCCCTCTTCATTCGTCCACCCATCTGCTCTGTCTTATATAATAGATGGTGATGCTTTGCCCACTAACACTCCCCTGGCTACATGCCTGGAGACCAGTCTGCTGGTCTTATATCCAAGCCATCTACTGGAGTGGCCAGAAGGGGAAAGCAGAGCAACCATAACCAATTCCATGTGTGCCTTTCAGCCCTGCTCCACAGCATCCACCAGCAAGCTGCTACCACACTTGAACCTCACACTGAAAGCCAATCTCCCTGGAGGCTGATGATCCAAGAACGCCATGAGGCTGACTGGGGGCTTGCCTTGCCATCCTGTCTTGCACATAGCTCAACAGCTTTGAGGCTCCGGACATTTTTTAAATCCTGATTGGAAGCATCTGTGTTAAGCATCACTGCTCCACTCCAAATCCTGGTTCTGTTCATCAGCTGTGTTGCTAATAATGTCGGTTTATTTCTTTTATTTTTCTCAGGAGTTCACCCTAGGCCAATTCACTCCAAGACACCTGGTGAGCCTCAAGAAGGTCTAGTTCCCAGGATGCCTAGTGTTTGTAAAACAAGGGCTACTTACTTTCCTAGCCTACCACACAATTAAATTAGCATTCATAAGGCTTCCTGAGATGTTCCGGACACAAGCCATTACCCACAGCGTCTTGCTGTATACCAGAGGGACCCTTTTCATTGCTGGTTGCTGGAGTTGCACACTTCCTGGCCCTGGCTTGGGCAGAGAGTGGCCAAACAGTGGCCTCTTTACTGCTTCCTCTTGCCTGATTAATTATTGCCAGACTCGTTGTTCTCAAGACCAGAAATCATGCCAGCCAAATCTGCTTTGTGTTCAGCGCATTTACCTTAAATGATGCCAAATCCATTCTTGACCCTAATTATCAGAAATATGCTTCCATAACTTTCTGCTAGGTGAATGAAAATAACGCCGGGGCTGCAGTTTGAACCTCCTCACCATTACTTGATTAAGAAGCATTCAAGGATCTCAAAACACATCACATATTTCTTCCCATGCTATTATACTCAGGGTCACCCGCAGAGCTGCCAAGACCCCAGTCTAGTGCCAGGACTGTACTGAAAGGGACTTAGATGGAGTGTGGGCTGAATTTTAAACATAGAACAACACCAGTGACAGAATCCAGCTTCTCTCCTGTCCCTCCTCTGTCTCTATCACACACACACAGATGCCCACAATTTGGCTGGGAAGCTCACTTGATCCCAACTTTTCCCCATCCATTCCCACACACCCATTTTTTCATATCCATTATCCAGAAAAGCTTTCCCAGGGAGCTGCTCTGTTTCAGGAGCGTGACTGACGGCTCAGCATCTGAGCAAGCAGTTGTTTTTCTTGACTGCATTCCAGGTGGACACTTCCGGCCTCGATGTTGACCGGGAGACACACACAGGCTCTTTGCTTCCACTCATTCTTCTTCGGGCACCAGGCTTCTCTGTGCTTCAGCAGCACGGAAGTCTCTCCCCCAAACACATCCTGTCAAACACAAAGACCAAAAACATCCCAGACTGGGAGCCAGACGGACTTGGAGTTTCTTAGACTCGTTTTGCACTGCCCAAGCTAATCAGATTTTACACATTCTGACACCATGTGTCCTGCTCAGTATTCTGTCCCTAGGATACAAATGCCCTCATTGTACTCCATGGCTCTGAGTGCAGAGGCCAAGCCATGATCATACCCAGCTCTTCCGAGTGCCCCCCTGAGTGTACCCAGAGCTAGTCCAACCGCTGAGATAACAACCATCTTGACAAGGATGCACCTTCATCTATGCATCTGCTTCAGCTCCTATGCCAAAGCTTCATATTCATTTAACTTCTGTGTATAAGGCTGGCAAACTCAGCCTCGCCTCTGTCTTTGTCATGAGCCATGGGCCAGCAGATGGAGGCACCACCTTGAGAAGGTTTCGTTTCTTGGCTTCTAGGTAAGTCCTAAAGGGTCTATCCTTTTGGCAACTACCCACTCGGAGTCCAAGAGAGCGGTGGGAGACTTCTTTCTCTTTCCCCAGGGTTCCTGCTATAGGCTTCATCAGAGACATATCATCTCCAGATGAGTTGGGTTGGTCCTGAGTTCTGGTCTATAGATTCATCATGAAATTGGCCTAGCCTGTCCTAGGCTCCTTGACCACAACCTTGGCTGTGGCAGCATGGGAGGCTTTCCCCACTGGGCGCCCTTCTGGACAGGCGTGTTGTCCCTCTGAGACCCACCTCTATGCCCCCCAGTAATCCTCAATCCAATTCGGCACACAAATGTTGAATGCCTGCTCTATGCCAAATGAAGCAGGCAGCATATTCTGCACAATGTTTTAGTCTTGCATCTCTTTGAAAACCCCAGGACAGCTGTGGACTCTCCTAGAAAAATACACGGATACAGAAATTTTTCTAGGCAATCCCCTAAAGCCAGCCCGAAGACTCTAGGTTAAAAACTCTCTGAATGAATGAGAAGAAAAGTATGTGAGACCTAGACTGAGATGTATGGGGACTGAGATGTACCCCTATCACAAGCCAACAGTGAGATGGCTGGGGGAGGGGCGCAAATTCTGAACCTCGGTTTCTTCAAATGTGAACTAGCACTGGTAATGCTTGCCTTGTCCTCGTGCCACTGTAGTGAGATTTTAGTGATGGAATAAATGTAAAAACAGAAACTGTTACATGTGGGCACTCACCACACATGTGAACAGATACGGATTTCAAAGTCTCAGCTGCTGGAAGGAGGGAGAGCAGGATTCAAGATTTTCAGTGTTTTACAAATGGAAATGTCAAGGCAGACGAAATGGCAGGCTTTGACATGTTAAATCTTAATCTTCTGACAACCGAGGGACAAGCAGGTGACCAAATATGAGGGACTGTCACAAATTCCAGGCCTGAGGCACCCCCGATGTCAACTCAGAAAGCCTTTTTATAGACAATATGAAGCAGAGCTAACTCAGCTTGCATTCCCAGAATCCTCCCTGCTGGCTGACATCTGCCTGAGGGCCAAGGTGGCCACATGAGGAAGCATTCAGCAGCAAGCCCACTACAGCTATGAGGCATTTGGCCTGGAACAAGTCCCCTTCACCTTTAGGGCTTTGAGAGCAGTTCTCAGGGAGGGGGGGACTTTAGCTCTCCCAAGAAGACTGCAGATTGAGAGCTTTGGTGGTGCCACTGGAATACTACTGATGCAGAATATCTGAACCCATGCTATGTTGCAGGCAGGTTTTGGGTGAGGGATGCAAGGCCTTGTTTCCACTGACAGCTGACAGTTCTGTTGACCCTTGAATCTGGAGAGGATATGCCATGAGTAGATGGGGAAGCAGAAAGAATGGAAAATTTTCTGTTCAACTTTTGTATACAACTAGAGAAAACCTACTCTCAAGAGGTTTCTGGAAACTCTATAAAACAAACTTTGATTGTGTGTGTGTGTGTGTGTGTGTGTTTCTAAAAGTATAGCATGACAGCTTGGTGTGCAAAAGGTATGTCAGCAGCCCTCCGTGCCAAGGAGGTGAACATCACAAAAGCCTGGGAAGTCGGGGAGGGAGGGAGGGAGGGATGAGGCAGGCAGGCAGGCAGGCAGGCCAACAGAGACTCAAAGCAAGTGAAAACTCTCTTAGCAGTTTCCAAATGAGCAGGAACCAGATCGGCAGCTAATGAGCAGAACAAGAACATGTTCTAGGAACCATAAAGCCGCGCAAACCCAAGTGTCTGCTTTTATTTATTTTTGTGTTTTTAAATTTGTGCCAAGAACCTAATTCAGGTCTCCTCCATGGATGGCAAGAACCCAACTACTTGGGCCATCACTGCTGTCTCAGTCTGGTGTCCACATTAGCAAGAAGCTGGAGTCAAGAGCCACAGTCAGGGATAGAGGCAGGAATCATAGCCAGACATTCTGATGTGGGATGTGGGCATCTTAGCACCTAGACCAACCCCTCCAGCCCACTGAGCTTCCCTTTACAAGAGCATTTCGTGGGATGTAGCTGAAGACACGGATCACCAGCCACCCTACATGAAAACTTTTCTGGGGGGCCGGCACTGTTTTTTTTTGTTTTGTTTTGTTTTGTTTTGTTTTTGACAGGCAGAGTGGACAGTGAGAGAGAGAGAGACAGAGAGAAAGGTCTTCCTTTGCCGCTGGTTCACCCTCCAACGGCCGCTGCGGCCAGCGCGCTACGGCCGGCGCACCGCGCTGATCCGAAGGCAGGAGCCAGGTACCCATCCTGGTCTCCCATGGGGTGCAGGGCCCAAGCACTTGGGCCATCCTCCACTGCACTCCCGGGCCACAGCAGAGGGCTGTAAACTTTTCTGGGGGGCCGGCACTGTGTTGTAGCAGGTAAAGATGCCGCCTTCAGTGCCGGTATTCCATATGAGTGCTGGTTGGAGCCCCAGCTGCTCTGCTTTCTGATCCAGCTCTCTGCTATGGCCTGGAAAAGCAGTGAAAAGTGGCCCAAGTCCTTGAGCCTATGTACCTGTGTGGGAGCTGGAAGAAGCTCCTGGCTCCTGACTGGTGCAGCTCCAGCCGTTGCAGCCATCTGGGGAATGAACCAGTAGATAGAAGACCTCTCTCTCTCTCTCTCTCTTCCTCTGCAACTGTGCTTTTCAAATAAATAAATAAATCTTTAAAAAAAAAAACTTTTCTGGGGCCGGCACTGTGGCGCAGCGGGTTGATGCCCTGGCCTGAAGTGCCGGCTTCCCACATGAGCACCGATTTGAGACCTGGCTGCTCCACTTCCAATCCAGCTCTCTGCTGTGGCCTGGGAAAGCAGTAAAGGATGGCCCCAGTCCTTGAGTGCCTGCGCCCACGTGGGAGACCTGGAGGAAGCTCCTGGCTTCAGATTGGCGCAGCTCTGGCCGTTGTGGTCATCTGGAGAATGAACCATTGGATGGAGACCTCTCTCTCTCTCTCTCTCTCTCTCTCTCTCTGCCTCTCCTCTCTCTGTGTAACTCTGACTTTCAAATAAATAAATAAATCTTTATTAAAAAAACTTTTTTGGGTAGAAACATAATACATTAATCTTTTTTTTTGAGAACACAAAGAACAATACTGGTTGTCTGAAGTGTCACCAAAGATATACATAACATTAAAATCAAATTATGTAAAATAGATAATAACAAGGGACATCTGTATTGGGCTTTACAGCAAACCTCATACAGCAAACCTCATACTTGGGTCGACTTTTCTTTTGATTCTTATAGCAGCCTGCCAGGTGGATAAAGCTGACAGCTTTTATTAATCTCATAATGAAGTGAAACTAGATGTCACCGGGTATCCAAGGCTACAGGCCCTCCTCGGTCAGCTTGGTGGTGCTCTTTAACCTACCAGCCGGGAGGAGAGAGAGAGAGAGAGAGAGAGAGAGAGAGAGAGAGAGAGAGAGAGAGAGACGCAGCTCTGAATCAGTAGCTGAGGGAGGGGAAGAAGATCGGAGATGGAGACACTGGCCTCTACAAGATCCTGAATCAAGGACCAGCAATCCCTCCGGTACTGGGAGCCTGCATGAGCCTCACTGTCCCCTGAAAAAGAACAAAATGAGGCTGGGCAGAGGGGGCTGAGACAGCAGGAAGGCCACAGGAATGACCTGCAAGGAATCCTCAAGAGTCTGAGGAGCTCGTATCCTGCTGGGGTAGGATTTTGGTGAGGGCTCCAGGACCCTGTTTCTATTTGCTTTTGATGGGTGCTGACACTTGGACTGGGGCCAGTAGGCCACTGGTGGGTAGGGAGATCCTTAAACCTGAGTTTTCCTAGGATTCTTGGTCCAGTGCTCTTTCTACCGCAGTAAATGGTTGCTGTAGGAAAAGCACAATTGTGTGTGCATTGCAGCCACTCATTTCTGCTAACGAAGTGAAAGTAGGAGTGAACTAGAGTCACATCCTACCTCCAGGATGTACTTGGTCCTCGTCACACAAGTTGTGTCTGTCACAAGGGGACTCAGGGTGGGGGAGAGGGTACGGGGAGGTTGGGGTTTGGCCTAGTGGTTGAAGAAGCCGGGTAAGATGCCTGTGTCCCATGTCAGAGTACCTGGGTGTGCGTCGCGGCTCCAGCTTCCTGCTAATATGCACTCTGGGAGACAGATGGTGATGTCTCAAATACTTGGGTGGCTGCCACTCGTGGGAAACTACACTGAGTTCCTAAAACATGGCTTCAGCCAGGCCCAGCACCAGCTCTTGTAGGCATCTGGGGAGTAAATCAATGGACAGGAGCTCTATTTCTCTGTCTCTAGCTCTCAAAAAAAAAAAAAAAAGCAGGGGCAAAGAAACATTGGAACGTGTCTCCATCATGTTCCTGAGTGACCTAGGAAGGGAGAGCCCTGGTGCGGGCTGCTCCATTTCTTCTGGGAAGAGGTAGGCGGAAGTAACCTTCCCTGACCTTGGAACCAAAATGCAGTTTCCCACAGAAAAGCCCAGAAATCTGTCTGCTTCTCCAGTGAGGAACGGTCCCAAGATGTTTACAGAGCATGAGCTCCTTCTGACATTAAGAGGAAATACCCAAAGGAAGGCCTTGGAGGCCACATGGTGCTTGGCTAACCAAGATTCACCAAGGTTTTCTTTTTTTTTTTTTTTAATTTATTTGACAGATAGAGTTAGACAGTGAGAGAGAGAGAGAGACAGAGAGAAAAGTCTCCCTTTCATTGGTTCACTCCCCAAATGGCCAGAGCTACGCTGATCCGATAGCAGGAGCCAGGAGCTTCTTCCTGGTCTCCCATGGGGTGCAGGGCCCAAGCACTTGGGCCATCCTCCACTGCACTCCCGGGCCACAGCAGAGAGCTGGACTGGAAAAGGAGCAATCAGGACTAGAACCTGGCGCTCATATGGGATGCTGATGCCGCAGGTGGAGGATTAACCAAGTGAGCCACGGCACCGGCCCCTCACCAAGCTTTTCACAATGGACCATTCAGAGCCTTTACTATGCCAGGTGCCCAGTGCAGTCAGTTCTAGAAGGAGCAGCCAGCATACAGAG